GCACGTGCATAGGATTTAACATGATGGAGTCAAAAGCCTGCCCTCTCCAATCTCTGCTGTACACAAGATATGAAGATCTAGTAGAATATGGAAGGAAGGACCCTTTTTGAAAAGATAGCTGGATTTTTTGGTTTTTTTTTTTATATCTTCTGGAATGGTGGTGTTCTATAGCAGTTTCCTGTGTGCCTATGTGCAGCCAGACACAAATGTTATCTTTGCCAAGGTAGACCACATGGGGAAAAGACAAAGCAGCTGAGGAGAAGCTGTTGACAGCAGGGAAAAAAATTTTAGTGCCCTTGACCTGTCAAACCAGCCAAGCCTGCCAGTATCTCTGTGGCCTCAAGCCTACCTTATTGTTTGTACTGTCTGGAGTATGCTATTGAGAATCCTAGCATTTCGTCTTTAAATAGAATACTTGATGAAAAGCAGGTGTGCTTTACATGTCTGGTCTAGTAAATAAATACAATGCGATCTTAGCCTTATGATAGTCATTGTAAACCCTTTTGCCATTTTATGTCTCATCTGGACAAAAAGATAAAAATGCATTACAAAAAGAATGTTAAGAGATAACTGAGAGTCCTTCTCAGGCTCACACTGAGCACTTGAAAAGCCATCTGCCATTATAAAAACATCCTGGGTGGTATTACTGGAGTAACTGGCACTCCAGAACAGCAGTGCAAGATAGGTGCTATCCTTAAATTTGTAAATAGGTTTTCCTGTACATCATCTGCGGATCATTTTTCTCCTGGTTTATCCTTGTAAACAATCCTAAGAGGTTGCCTGCAGGACTTTGATTTCAGTGATACAGTAACAGAACTATTTTTTCAGGAAAAAACATGTAAAACTGGTGACATTTTTCTTGAACTGGTGAGATTCTTGGTCCCCAAATTGACCATTTGTCTTCTTGCCCAGTTAGTGTTACACCTGTCTGTTTCATCCTGCTTCTGAGCTGAAATGATATAAACATAATAAATAGCTATGATTTTGCTAGGAGAGCATGCCAGTTTTTTCAAGTTATCTTGGGTTAAGATGTGGGCATTGAATAACAGTCTCTTTTCAGCCTGCCACTGATTTTGGTTTTCACTGTGTATTTTATGCTGGTTGCATGTTTCATGTGCTGAATGGTTTTAGCTTGGTTGATGTTTAACAAAAAGAAAATTACCAGTATAAACATCAAGGAAAATATTATAAATAATTTATAAAATAAACCACCACAGTGGAGAAGGATACAAAACCTATGTTTTTAATCACTCATCAGTTCCTAGCAGAATTAAGAGATTTCTTTATTTCACTGCTGGTATTACAAAAGTACACACTTTCCTTCCTCAGGTTTTGGTAGTGCCTCTTGAGCCTGCTGTTGGAGCCAGATGACCACATACTGACACATTTAGAGGTTCCTGTTTGTGTGTAGGAAACAATTCCTACAAGAAGTCTGCTATATCTATTTTTTTCTGTTTAATTTCATGCACAATAGGTTTGGAGTTCTTTATGGCCCCTGTTCATATTGTGTGACTACTTCTAATCACGGTACAAGAATTTGTTCCTAACTCTAATTTCACATTCAGTGTTCTGTCTTCTTTATGAAATTCTAGTTTTTGAAATCAACTACATAATATGCTCATCTTCCATGTTAAAAAAATAGAAATGGGTTTCCCTTATAGCTGAAGAAGCAGCTAAAAACCCACCATTGTCTGTGATACAAACTTGCAGAAGATACAGCAAAGGCCAAACAGTTGTACAGATTTTTAAGATTACACATTTAAAGTAATCTTTAATATATTAAAGGTATGATTTATGATTTTTGAACTCTTCTAATAGAACATAGAATGGTTTGGATTGGAAGGGACCTAAAAAATCATCCAGTTCCACCCCCTTTGTCATAGGCAGGGAACCTCCCACTAGACCAGGTCACTCAGAGCTCCATCCAACTTGGTTGTCTTCTTGTTTCTCAGTATCATAGTTTGCATTTGCTACCTCAGATATGTATCACTGTTATACCTAGATTGCTGTCTGTACAGATCTTTGCATATTTGGTACTCACCAAAATCAGAGGATGAGAGACATCTGTCATTAGTCATTAAGACAGTTAAGGCTAGATTACTTACCCTGTCCATTTTTTGGGTTTTTTTTTTAAAGCATGTTATTATCATAAATTACATTTAAGAGTTGACTTAGTGTCAAGTTAGCCAGCTTGACTTTATAGCATGCTATGGTGTTGGAATTCTGAAATTTATCATAACTTGCATGTCGAGAATTTAGGAATATCACCATAATAACCAGCAAGTTTGTAATTTTCTTGCATAACAGCTCTTCCACTAATGTCTTCTGAACTTAGTTTCTAACCAGACGTCAGCTTACTCGCATTCACAGGTGCACAAATATTCCTGCATTTTGAATATACTAATTCAGTTAGTTATTTGAAAATATTTCCAAGTATTCTATGTCAGATGAAATGATCAAATAGCAGAAACAGGTAACACAGACACTTGTAATTAATAAAAAAAGAGGCATATACTGCCCTATCACAGGAAACTAGACAAGTGAATCTCTGGAGCTTGGAACTTCACCCTTGTATACAGGCTAATTGAGAGGTCACCTTATGAACCTTAGAAATTGAACATAATGATTTCTGTAGCAGCACTGAGTCATTCAGGCTGGAAGGGATGTAGGGAGGTCTCTGGTCCAATCTCTTACTTGAAGGAGGGTCAGATGTGAGATCGCGCCAGATTGTCTTGAGAATCTCCAAGGGTGGACTGCACAACCTCTCTCTGCAACCTGCTCTGACTCTTGACTTACCTTCAGGGGGAAAGAAGTTGTTCCTAACATCCATCAGGAATTTCCTGTTTCAGTTGATCTTTTGCCTCTTGCCCTCCTCCTATGGTCTCCTCTGGTAAGCTCACTTCCATCTTTTCCACCACTTCCCTGTGAGATATTGGAGGATGCAATTAACTGCCCTTGAAGCTATCTGCTTCAGGCCCAAAAAGCCTCAGCCCTGCAGTTGCTGCTTGCAGATTGCCACCAACCATCTCAGTGCCCTCCTCTGAACTTTGTCCAGTTTGTCAGCATCTTGTATAAAGGTCCCACAATTGAACACAGGATTTCTGATAAGGTCTAGTGAGTGCCAAGCAGAGTATGATAAATCCTGCCCTCAATCTGCCGCTTGTGCTGCCTGCTCTTTAGGCAGCCTGGATACCACCAGTCTTCCTTGCTCCAAGAATGCTTCCACCTTATACTCAGCTCACTGCCCACTAAGCCAAGGTTTAATGAGCAGAAGGTCATTTGTACTTGCACAGGGCTACGATGGCCCCAGGTTTCAAAGCGTCAGGAGGTGTTGGTGTCCCTGACCAGGCCTCCTTTGGAAAAGGATTGAGTTGGAAACACAGCTGGGTGACATGGCATAAGGGAAAAGAGAAAAAGAGCTCTCAGTAAGTCATAAACCTTTGAGATACAGACTGTCACAAAACTGAAGGGAACCAATTCATGAAAGTGGCAGATACACAAACCTGCCTGCTGCTTTATCACAATAGTTTCCACTTAATATTTAGATAGTCTAAAAGAAAAGTTGGGATGCATGTATCTAAGCTGACTAATGTGTATTGCTTCCTTTTTCTGACAGATAAGTAGGTTGTTGTTTCTGAAGTGTAATGAACAAGGAATATTTCACAGCCACTTTCTCACTGGGGCCTGGCACTAGGTTTGGACTTTTGATGTCTGCTGGAGTTCAAACATTAAGTAATATCAAGTAGTTATTTATAGTAAGGATTGATTTTTTTTATTCTTTTTGTAATAACAGTCTGTAGTGCTGTGCTTTCGTGCTTGTCCTGCTGTATGGCATCTGGCAGTGTAAAACCTGGTAGTTCAGCTGTAGGTATTAGTGCTGCCCTGTTGATTTCAGTGGTGTCTACTCCCCAGGAAAGTTAAATACAAGTGAAATGTTTACAGCATCCAAGTCTTACCTGGTCATATACCTGTATGTTTATCTTCATGTATCTATCTGTAGCTGGAAGGGATCTTGACAGTCTTACAGTGCTTCATCACTTTCCCCAGTGGCATGTTACTCTATGGTGTCTAATTAGTGCTGAGCAAATTATCTGGGAAAAAGTAATTTATCCATCAGATTTAGCTTCTTTACCTGCTCAAGAAAGATCTTAGACTAGGACTATGCTTTTTGTCCTATTTATTGGTTATTCTACCAACATGAACACTTTTCACACACTGTTAAATGTGGATAGATCCCTGAATTTTTGTAATGGATTACATGCTGTCAGATGGATTTGCATGGATTGCTTCTAGAGGTCTTGATGTATCTTTCAGCTCATTTCAGCAGGATCAAACATTCTACAACGATGGGAGATCTCTCAACGTGAGATCTCTGCGACACATGGCATCAGTGAAAGGATGTTTCTATGCATGCCTTGCGGGCAAGACATCTCTCAGTGTATCCGGTGCACTCTCACCGTGAGGGAGTCCCGGCGGCCGGGCCTTGTCCCTCCTCAGCCCGGCTGGGGTCGGTCCTGCACCGCAACACGCCCCATTTACAAACTTCCCTTCCAACTTGAGCGTAGTGTGAGGTCAGCGAGCCTTGAAAAGTCGAGGAGTATGACTGCTTTCCTGACACTTAACCCGCTGTTCGACAGCGTGCGGTGACCCCGCCACAGTCCGGGGTCACCGTCGGGGCTGCTCGGTGGCGCGGTGCCTCCCCCGGCTCGGCTCGGCTCGGCCCGGCCCACCTGGGGCTCCAGCAGATCCGCTGCCTGCCCGGGCTCGCCGGGGGCTCCGCGAATCCTGATGCCTGCCCGGGCCGCCTCTCCGCTTCGGCCCGCCCCGCTGCGCCGGGTGGCGGCGGCGGGCAGTGCCGGTGCCCGCCGCCGTGCGGGCCGGGCGGGGCGGGGCGGCAGGTGGCGCGGATGTCGCTTTGGAAGGGGGCGGGCGGTGGCGCAGGCGGATGCTGCGCTCGCTCCTCCTCCTCCGTCGTCGCCGCAGCCGCCGCCTCCTGCGCCTCCTCGTATCGCGGCGGTGGCGGGCAGGGTCCGGCCGCGGCCCCGCAGCTTCTCGCCGAGGCGGCGCGGCCTCCGCTCCCTCCTGCCTTGCCTCGGTCGGTGCCCAGCCCCGGCGCGATGTCGGGCGGCGCGGCCAGCGCCCCTAAGCCCCTCCCGTCCTCCGGGCCCAAGTCGCTGCGGGAGATGCCGCATCCTCTGGCCACGTCCAGCAGCGAGGAGATGGGGCCGGCGCTCACCCCCAGCCCCGACCTGCTGCTGCCCCGCAGCATCGCCGACAAGGTATGGCCCGGGGGAAGGGATTGCGGCATTTGAGGGGGCCTCTGGTGTTGAAGGAGGGTGGGAAGAAGGACTGTGTATGTGTGTTTCCCTGACACATCCCTTTTCCCGGCTTCATCTCGTCGTGGAATAAAGCCCTGGGCGCTGCTGGCATCAATTGCAAGAGCACAGAGCGGCTCCGGGGGGAGAACATAACGTGTCCCTTGCTGCGAGGGACCGTCCGGGACACTGGTAGTCGCGCTGTCACAGGAGGGTTGCGAGAGGCAGGATTTTATTTACTGTAACTCCTGTGGCTCATGTCTGCAGATAGGTGTAAGTTTTTCAGGCATTGCTGCTGCTCCTTTGCTGTCTCCTTCCTGTAATGCTCACGTGGAAGGCTTGGAGCTGGCATGGTTTCCTTATCATCAGCTTGTTTGTGACTGTCCTTTCCAGGCTGAACTCCTGCTCGCTTCTTCCCTGCATTAATACAGACACAGTGTTCTGCAGGACTAGCTATGTTTGTTTTCCTTTCCCTGGCTCTGGTATATGTTCACAGGACACTAGCAAACTCTGTGAAGTGCCTTCCTCGTGGTAATAATTCGGTACTGGTAGTACAGCGCTGCCAATACATTAGCTGCTCTTGCAAGGACTTAGTATCCCTGTGGACAAGTCTTCCTGAAATTTTTAAGGTAGGATTTTCTGGGAGCAAGAACTGCAAGGTGTTTAAAGGGTTTAAATGCAGTTCTGGCACAGCTGGTTCGTGCATACCAGGTATTATTACTGAGTTGCTGGTGTCAAGACGTGCTTTTTCTGTGGCTGTTGTCCTGGGGAATATGGAGCTGCTTCTGGGTAGGATGGATCCCTTAGGCTCCAAAAGCCTTGAGGCTGTCAGCAGTATCTGGCCCAATACACTCCCATGGTATAGGAGAGTGAGTCAAGGTAGCCTGGCCTCTTCCATATTTCACCATCTGCTGTGTGCAACTGTGATGTAGGGATTCAGCACTTCTTTCCGCCCATGTAAGGAGTCCTCTTCTTGAACATTTGCCCACTGTTGCTTTTGTGAGAAGCAAGGTTTATCTTCTCTTCAAGAATTTAGGCCTTCATCTAACAAATCAGTCAGTTGATGACCTGTGGAGAAAAGGGGATGTGACTAAGGCAGGGGTAGAAATTGTGGAGGTTTTTGTCTGTGATAGATGGTTTAATCATCTAACTAGGTTGTTGTCTGGCAAACCTGTAGCAATAGAAATTGGCAGCTACCTTCGCAGATCTTGCAGCTGAGAAGCTGCAGCTGTTGGCACGGTCCGTCCACACTGCTGTATAGCTGGTGAGAGGAAGTTATGAGGAGTACTTACACCCTGTAGTGTCTTTCCTCAGTTGTATTAAAGAACTTCTTTGCTTTTGGAGTGCAAACAAGCTTCTCTGCTTTACTTCTTCGAGGTTTTGAGAAGTGTATCAGTATTCTTGACAACCTGGGGGCAGAAATAACTGTAGCTTTAGGCTGTGATCAGCTAACTTCTCATAAGTGGGAAAGTTCTTGCCCAGTTTTTCCATTAGCAATAGAAATGAAATCCACCTTCCTGTTCCCTGTATGTAGTACCATTCTGTTGTAGGCACTTGGCAGCATAGAAATACTCTAAAAGGCAGAACAAAAGTGGCTGTGGTAAGTGATGACTTTAGACTTGAGTGCAGTTCCGTGCTTGACCTGGAAATGACACTAGACTATGATCCTTGCAGAGTAAAAGCATATCCAGTAGGAAGAGAATATGATTTTTTTCCTTCTAGCTGAATTAGCAGAAAAAGCTTATCTTCTTGATGGATGGAGATCAACAGCTTTGCTCTGTATGGGATGTCCTTTCTTCAGCTTAGTATTTCACACCCTGGCAAGAAAAAAATGTAGTAACTTCTTTCCCATCTCAGGAAAAAAAATTCAATAAACAGGTGTTAACTAGCTTTAAGGCAATGCCTGCCCTGAATATTAAGTAGTCTACAGAGGAAGGGAGGGTAAGTGGAGGTAAACAGGTAAAACCGCTTTTTGGGTGGTTAGTATGTCTCAGTCTTAGAATCATGGAATGGTTTGGGTTGGAAGGGAGCTCAAAGATGATCTAGTCCAACCTCTGTGCTGTGGACAGGGACGCCTCACTACATCAGATTGCTCAGAGTTTCATCCAGCCTGGCCTTGGACACTTCCAGTGTTAATCTTAAAAATCTTAATCTCTGATGATGGATTATTTATCTTTTGAGAGACTGGCTCATTAATCAACTAATAGTGCTGAGTAACTTCAATAGCTGAGTAACGAAGGGCAGTCAGCATTTAGGTCTGACTTAGGCTTAAAGCTCTGCATTAGTTATTTATTGATACTTGAGTAGGAACTGTTCTAATCTTCTGTCTGGTCTTTTGGGAGAATCTGGTGGAGATTGGTACTGCAGAAATTTTGTTCCAAGTCTCCTGCTTCAAAGTGTCTTTGAGTCAGATTCTGTCCATATTCAGACATGTACTAGGATATTGCTTTGGGAAGAGGGCTAGTGAAAATAGCTGTCCCATCACTATGAAGTGGATAATTTGCTTTTTCTGGGCTCCTTATGTTTTCTCTGAGCAAATACTTTCTAATATCTGCTGCAAGCTACAAGTACCAAGACTGAAATCCTCTGAGTGGAGAAAGCAAAGTAAAGGGGGGTTTTCTACCCATAAACTACTTCAATTTTTATTGCCACTGATGTATAGCATGGAAATGGTTGAACGTCTGCCATCACTGCTTTGTATTCTTTGAAGCATGTTTTTCTTACTCTTTTTTTTTTGATTCATTGAGAAAGAACACCACTTTATCCTGAGTCAGAAAAACCTGGGGGACAGGAACACCTGCCTCTGTGTCTCCTTTTGGATTTTGATTCAAATGTGCGAATAATGTAGTATTTCAGATCCTGTGTAACTTTCTTTAATGTCTCATAAACCTTAGGTTGCTGTTCAAGAACAGTGGCTAATGCTACTAGAGCAGTAGGTAATTGGAAGGGGAAGGAAAACTTTTTGTGCTGTTTACTGAGGCCATCTAAGTAGACTAGTCTCAAGTTTTCTGAATCTTAGAAACTGAGAGCTGCAGAACTGTAGTGTCTTTATCCTGACTTGTAATGGATGGTAGTTTTAGAAACCAGGATGCCTTGACTTTTGACAGCATCTTATCTCAGATGAAAAGGACATTTTAGCCAAGTACTTGACTTTTACAGTCGTGCTGCAGGAGACTTGATGCCTGAGCACCGTGAGTGTCTTTGAGTTTATTCTCCCTTCACCCTTGCTAGCTTTCAGATAAGGAGACAGCGCAAGCTGAACCTGAGTGCTACCATGTTTCTTGTGTTTTGGGTCTTTTTCCTTTTATTTGGTTGGAAATATTTCCTTTTATTAACATCAGGTGAGAGGAGAAACATGCAGAAGAAAACAGTTCCTCAAGTTGCATGGCAGAGTTAGTTGTAGAATTAGTTGTAAAACTGAGGCCTTGCTGGTTTAGCTTTTGGAACACATACAAGCTAAATGAGATCTTGTTTTCAGAGCAGATCCACTGCTGAGGAGGGCAAGACATGAGGAAGTGTGTGGATTTCTCTCTGCCCTTTCTTTTCAAAAAAAAGAAGGAAATTCTGCTTGCGCATGACTACTTGACTCCAGTGCTCAAGTTTGTTACTTTCGATAGCAGATCTGCTTTGCGCACCAGGACAAGTGCTTTGACAATAAGGAGAAAAGGCAGTATTAATAGGTTACTGAGATTAGGGCAGAGGTGAGAAGAAGATGTTTTGCTGCGATACGACTCAGATTCAGCCCCTCTGGGGCTGTGCAGATTTAGTAGGCTGCTGCTAAGGTTTGGAAGTGCCAGGCTGTGTAAAGTTAGAAAAGAAGTGTTCTGTATGGCTTAGTTCCACTGTCATCTCGCTGTGGTCCCTCTAGAATTGTATAAGAGTATCTTCCTAACATGGTGGTGTTGGCTATTCTTGCTGTGGCCTGCCTTGAGACTGACAGCTGTCTGAGTTGTGATGATTCACATCACTGGTTTCTTGCCAAGAACGCCAAAACATTTCATATCCCACCTGTCCTAGGACTCAGGTTCCCTTGTCCTTTTTCAGACATTTCTGACTGCTGTTACTGTACTTGTGGCCAGCTACGTAACTTTCTCAGCTTTTATTCTTGGAAGCTCTGCCTACCTTGTTTTTGCTTCAGTTAACTCTATACAGCTGATGAGAGCTTCAAGGCTGCTTTACAGGCACTATATTAAGCAGATACCAGAGCTGATGTGGAATACCAGGCTTGCAGTGAATGTATACCTTGAATTTGCTAGTTCATGGAGATGGACTTTAAAACTCCTAATGCAAACTTCTGGTTACTAACTGAAAACTATTGTTTGCATGCTCTTCTGCTTCCAGGTTATCACCATAGTGAATTCCTAGACTTCTTATTAGTACCTGATCAAATATACTTGGTGTTTGCTGGAGTGCTGTCACATAGCACTTACTCCGAAAGGGAGCCTGGCACCTCTCCAATTCCAAAAAATATACTGGGAGTTTGAAGCTCTACTTCCAGCCTCCTTGGTTGCTGTTTTGTAATTATTGCTCTTAACTTTACCCACCTACAGATGAAACCAGTTTGCAGTATAATCTGAAAACTTAAAATAGATCTGCTTGAGCTTCTACAAACTTCTTCATTCTCTGACTAGATGAGAACTTAGACATGCACCATGTATTGTTCTTAAAGGAAGCTGGAGGTAAATTCTCAGTTGTGGAAGAGACTTACAGACTGTAGAAAGTCAAACTGAAGTTGGTGAACTTGGGAAACAGTGTCAGTATGGATGGGTTGATCTCTGCTCCTATCTACAGAATGCAAAAATGACAGTCATAGGGAAGTTGAGGCTAGAAGTCAATTCTGCATACTATCTTGTCCAACCTTTTGGCTCATATAGGCCGGGCTGCCCAGGATGCTATGAAGTGGTGTTTTGAATAGCTCTCTGGGCATCCTGTTGCTGCATCCAGTCACCCACAAAGTAAAATGT